CACTATTTTTAATAAATGTATTGATAATGGCGTTTTTCCACATTTAATGAAATTTAGCAAATTAATCCCACTATTTAAATCAGGAGATAAATTTGAGCCAGGGAACTATAGACCTATATCTATTTTGCCAGTTCTAAGTAAGGTGTTTGAAAAGATAATGTTAAATCAAATGTTACATCACTTCAGGGTTAACGGACTGCTTCACAGTCAGCAATATGGTTTCACCGCCGGCAAGTCTACCACTGACGCAGGTGTTGCGCTAATGACACATATTTTCGAATCTTGGGAGAGGTCACAGGATGCACTCGGAGTTTTTTGTGACCTATCAAAGGCATTTGATTGTGTGGATCATAAAACGCTTTTGTACAAGCTCGAACATTATGGTATAAGAGATAATGATCTAAAATTAATGAGAACTTATTTAGAGGATAGGGTTCAAACTGTAGATATTGACGGTGTAAAATCTAAGGGAGCTAATATTAAGATGGGCGTTCCACAAGGGTCAATCTTAGGCCCCTTTCTCTTTTTAATCTACATAAATGACCTTCCCTTTATGGTAGAGAAAATTGCAGATATAGTGCTGTTTGCGGATGATACTTCGTTAGTGTTTAAAATTGGACGTCAAAGTAATCAATTAGACGATGTAAATTGTGCTATGTCTGCAATATTAAATTGGTTTACATGTAATAACCTATTATTAAATTCCAGCAAAACAAAGTGTATAAAATTTACACTTCCTAATGTAAGACTAATAAATACACAGTTATTGCTTAATGACGAAATAGTAAATTTTGTTAATGATACAGTTTTTTTAGGTATAACAGTGGACTCGAAATTACAATGGGGGCCCCATATTTCAAAATTGGCCAGTAGACTCAGTTCTGCTGCATATGCAATTAGAAGAATTAGGCAATTAACAGACGTGGCGACGGCTAAACTTGTATATTTTAGTTATTTCCATAGCATAATGTCTTATGGCATACTGCTGTGGGGTAAAGCAGCCGATATAAATACTATATTTGTTTTACAAAAGAGAGCCATACGTTCTATTTATGGTATGAGTTCAAGAGAGTCATTACGTCAGTGCTTTAAAGACTCAAATATCCTCACAGTTACTTCACAATACATTTATGAAAATATTATGTATACACGGAAGAACTTAGCGAGTTTTAAAAAACTCAAAGACTGTACAAGTAGAAACTTACGCAATATAAATAAGCTTATTTTACCTAAATGCCGTCTGCACAAAATCAGTAATTCATTCTATGGTAATTGCATAAGATTTTATAATAAACTGCCGGAATCTGCATTAAATCTGACAGAGAGGCAATTCAAATCTTATATTAAACAATTTTTATGTAAGAAAGCCTATTACAGGATAGACGAATTCATAGATGACAACATATCAAGTAAATAATTAGTTTATTAGCATACAACGTTATAATTTTATTTTCTCATTGCTTTCTTGATTTAATTGATTAATTTTAGAAATATGAAAGCGTAGCGGTTTTTTGTATTAATTGCCGCATGCATTCTTATGTAAAATGTGAATACTATAATTATCAGATGGCAATTGTGAGTAGCTTTGACGTGGTCTAGTGTTTTGAGCAGTCATGCTCACTAAAATGTCCAGACTTGTGGCGGCGTGGTGGGCCGGGTCATTGGGCTCCCTAAAATATGGTCGAGCGCAGTGATGGCTGGCTCATCCGTCATACTCGTGAACGGGTGCTGCTTGTAGGGACTGGTCTGCTCTAATCACTATGACTGATTTCCTCTTATTAATTGTTTAACCAGTTGGTTATGTATTCAATTTTTTTTTTTTTTGAGTATTTAATTGAATTAGTGCTAATTGGTGGTTTGTATTCACACAATTAAACTTAAAAATGTAAAATAATAATAAACTTATTTAAAAGAGCATCACGCAAGTTTCTTGCTCGTTCTTCTTGTGATGAGACAGCTTTCCGAACGAGCGGTAAATTAAAAAAAATGTAATGACTTTTCAAAAGTGCTTCAATGTAAGTTTATTTGAATAAATGATTTCTATTCTATTCTATTCTATTCTATTCCATTAGGTGGGCCGTCAGCTTGTTTGCCATTCTAAGTTGTATAAAAAAAAAAAGGTTATTCACTTGTTCAGTTATGAAATCAAAATAACCGATCAGTTTTTTGTTTTTATTTTTTGCCCTTGGAATTTATTATTTACAGCATTAGTAATACCATTTAAAAGCATCAATGTGATCACCTCTAATCCAAGCGCGCATACCTAACCCCAAACCTATCATTAGGGGGTCGTAAAACCGAAGTTCTTTTACCACGAACCACCGCAATTTTAATACTCTAGGTGCCCTAACATTTCTTTGAGTACATTAAATTACGTTGAATTAACACGCTATTTTACCCGTCTGCTAAAAAAAGGATAATGTTTTTCAGATATGTATGTTTGTAGGAGTATAAAGACAGAATATTTATTTATTTATTATTTATAACCTAAATGGTCGCGTACAACGCCCCTCCATGCGTTGCCATTCCTGAGGATTCAGGTGTTACTCCTCTGTACCCTGTAAGTTCACTGCCATTCACACCCTTCAAACCGAAATACAGCCATGTTAACACAACTGCTTCACGGTTGAAACACGAATGGGACAGAGGTGCCCGAGCAAAACACTTTTGTACAAAATCTCTCTCTGGTCTATATTTATAATATATCCAATTATTAATACGTATAACCTTACCAATATTATTTTTATAAATGACTCGAAACGGAGGTTTTGAATCCATCATTTTTTTAACGCGACGTTTTTATTCTAAACCTACTTTTAATTTTTTTTTACAAAAATGCATTTTACATTCGATGGAGTTGACAGCCATATAATCAATTGAGTTTTTTATAAATAAATTCACCATATCATATCTGTCATTACCTATCCATTGCTGAATATATTGGGCCTTCTATCTGGCCTTCCCCTATTGGGGGTTTTGCCAATAATTGCCACGGTTGTCAGACGGGTTACGAACCCCATTTAGGCTTTCGGTGGGGGAGGGGCGGTGCTGCCCATCCCTCTGTCATTAAATTCGGTTCTTACGACACGAGAAAGGAATGGCATTGACTTTTTATATCTTAATTCGAATCCTCTAACTACATACTACTACTCATTGTCCACACTTTAAAAGCACATTCTACCATTTCATTAAATTCAATGTTATTTTTATATTTTTTATTTTTGTGCGTATTCGACTTTTCTATTATGAAACCGAAGTGAAAATGAAACCAAAGGGAGACTGTACAAAAGTCGTTTGCGTTGGCACCTTTGTCCCATTCGTGTTCCTACCATGAAACAGTTGTGTTTGCATGGCTATGTTTCGGTTTGAAGGGTGTAATATGGCAGTGAATTTACAGGCAACGCATGGAGGGTATCATGGACGAAACAGTATATTCTGTTATGTCCATAGTACTGCTCATGTCTATAGGCGACGGTTACCACTTTCCATCAGGTGGGCCGTCAGCCTGTTTGCCATTCTAAGTTGTATAAAGAAAAGAAAATATCGATCTAAAATTAATTTTACAATTACACTGATTTTAAGCACAATTAATTTATTGTAAAAAAATATGCATCCAATTGAGATTTTTTATTAGGAGCGAGCAAAGGCACTGTTGCCTTTACAATTAATTGATTAGTGTTGGGTTGCCAACAATTTTCCTTTTTATTTTTAGAATAGATGACAACACTTCTTTGTAAAATACACGAAGCCTGCCGTGATATAAATGCGCTCAAATCATGGAAAGAATAATTAGGCTGTTATGTCATACGACTCGGTAGCTCGCTAATTTTCCACGTTTCTGGCAAATGGAAGGGAGAGACGTTTAGGGTGACTGTAAAGGCCTTGTAGGCTGAGTAAATGAGTAAATAGATTAACTTTATAGGTGTCTTAAAACTTTGCTAACAGATTTTGATGGAAATATCAACGCTAAGAATCTCGATGCAAAGATTTCATTGCCATCCAAATAGGGAATAGTATGATCTAAAATTCCCGTGTTGTCCGTCTAAAATCCTTTCCTTTCTCGTGGTTATTGTAAGAAGCGACTAAGGGAGGGCGAGGACTAAAGAGTTATTTTCGAAAAATATAAAATCAGCGAGACAAACTGAGTAAGCATTTTTTTAATTCACAAACTGTTTGAATATGTATTGTATTGAAGAGAAGGTCATATGTTAATCAAGTTAACCAGAGGGAGACTTTGTACAAAAGTCGTTTGCTTGGGTACCTCTGTCCCATTCGTGTTTCTAGCGTGAAGCAGATGTGTTTACATGGCTGTGTTTCGGTTTGAAGGGTGGGATATGGCGTGAATTTACAGAGTACAGAGGAATAACATCTGAGTCCTCAGGAATGGCAACGCATGGGGGGTATCATGGGCGAAACAGTATACTCTGTTATGTCCATTGTACTGCTCATGTCTATAGGCGACGGTTACCACTTTGCATCAGGTGGATCGTCAGTTTGTTTGCCATTCTAAGTTGTATAAAAAAAATCTCTAAAGCCTAACTGCGGTTGCCAATCCGCCTGCCAAGCATGGCCACTACTGGCAAAACTTCCCAAGATGGAGGCTTACGTTCAGCAGTAGACAGTTAAAGATGGATACGATGATGATGATTAAATTTGTAAATTCTATTTGAAAAAGATAAAAAAAATTGAGCAATGTAAGTTGCTTTTAATCTCTTTAAAGGTCTCTCGAATTAAGATACAAAACATTGGCAAATTTTTCACCGCATCGAAACAAAATTTGATTTGACTACGAATCGATCTTCTTCTGCTTTAGGAACCAATTAAAGCCTTTGTATGGGCATAGATAAAGAAATAATATATATTTTGGTTTTTCTAAAGTACAAACCTCTCTACATAATACTTAAACTTGCCCATTTATAGATTACACTGACAAAGTCAAACATCATTCTTATAAATATTAAAATCTAATCAATCCACAAAAAATAATCTCCAAATTGCAGGATCAGGCCAGATCCAGCTGTGGCAGTTTCTACTCGAGCTCCTGAGTGATTCGAGTAACGCGGGCTGCATCACTTGGGAGGGAACTAACGGAGAGTTCAAGCTGACTGACCCTGATGAAGTGGCACGTCGGTGGGGAGAGAGGAAGTCCAAGCCAAACATGAACTACGACAAGCTAAGCCGGGCTCTGAGGTAACACGACTATCAATGACAGCGATGCGATTTGTCGGGTACCCGTTTATTTGTCTATGCGTTGCGACTATGCGTTGCGACTTTTTTTTTCTTATACGTATTCAAATTTCGAACATCGCAGGTGTAGGCACATTAAGTAAGAATGTGTCTATGCCTGCAAATATATTACATTTATGTGTGTTAAGTAATTGTTGCGAATTTTTTGTGCAGATATTACTACGACAAAAACATAATGACGAAAGTACACGGGAAAAGATATGCGTACAAGTTCGATTTCCAAGGGCTAGCAGCTGCGACGCAGCCGGCGGCCAGTGATCCAGCATACAAGTATCAGAGCGATCTGTTCATGAGCTCGTACCATCACTCCGCTAAATTGTCGTCTTTCATGGCCCCACACGCGGCGATGCCCACGTCCACAGGTAAAAAATATTCAGCGTACTAAAGCTGTTGTGCTCCTGCGAAAATAAATGTATAGATAGATAATTAAGCTGTGCCACAATTATTTACAGTAGAATTTCGATTATCCGAATCAAAAAACCAGGGATATACCGTATAATCGAAAATCCGGATAATCGATTTCTAATGCAAATCAAACAATCAGTATATATATATTTATTATTATGTAAAAGGTTTAACATACATTAATTAGACAATACGATTTAAAAAATACGAGCTACAAAGGTAATGGACTAAATAATAACTATTTTGATACATTATATCATTTTTAAATCGATAATAAAAGCCGTGATGAATAAGTCCGGATAATCGAAAATTCGGATAATCGATGTTCGGATAATTGAAATTCTACTGTATATACAATAAAACCTATCTATTAACATACTATGTAATGTCACTATAATATAACTGAAGTTACAATAACGATCATATTAAAAAAAAAAAATAATAGGTACGTGCCTATAATATTTTAAATTATTTCGTAGTTCCATAAAAAAACAAATCTGATAATAATCAGAACGTGTAACTAAAAAATAATTATAAAATATGAAATAAAAATACATGGGCAATTAAACATTCGATTTGCATTTAAAAACATATCGCCCTAAGTAGCTAAACGAGTGTTAATATGCACCCTTCAAACGCAGTGTATAGTTTACTGTGCTCTACAGTATAATCTGCATTTCTCAGTACTAATGCGTACACTTGCTTGCACAAATATTGGCACGCTACTCGAAACGGGTTGTAGCTGGCACCCGAGCAGACACACACTTGACTTAATGGAATAAACTGCGTTTTATTTTCTTTACTATGTTTTATTTTTATCACAAAATAAATTAAAATTAAAATAAAATAAAACTAACCAATAAATAATTTTGGCACAGCTATGATTAATACATGTGTCAAAGTAAATAAGTATTCAAGCGAATGTGTCGAAATAAAAATGTAGTTATAATTAATATTTCTAATTTAAGAAAAGAGATATTTATTTGTCATGTGACAAATGTTAATTTTGTTATTTTTTACATACATTTGTTAATAAAACAATTGTCATTGTTATTTTACACATTGAGGTGTTAAAAATATCAATATCTTTAATAATAAATATTAAATATTGTATATAATAAGTCCAAAACAAAATTCTTAATTAATTAAATGTTACATTTAGCTACTTGTGACTTCCAGTCACAATTGTGTAAAATTATATTAAATTTAATGTTACTCGTAATATCCCATATCATTCTAATACACAGAGCCAAACCATATTTTAACACCTCAATGAGCCAAAAACATCTCAGCATCTGAGGAAATGTATTGTTGCAGCTTCAATATTCCCATCTGCTTCGTGGGGTAACTGGGGAGGAGGAGGCAGCAACCTATACTCCCCCACTCGATGGCGCCCCCCCACGTGACATCACATCTGGGCTCCTATCCACACTACGCATGACCGGCCATTTGAACCGACGGCATGCCCACGACGACTTTTATTACCTAAAAACACCTATTAACAAATAATTTCATTGTTTATATTTATTATTAAATGACATTGTAATTTTTATTTTGCATTTCAAATTATATTTACTTTTAATTTTAAAAATATTTAATCTTTGTAATCATTATAAATCCGCCTCTATTTATGTCGTAATTTATCATCTGTGATCATTTAATGAGGTGACATAATAGTTTTATTAATACTTTTTTTTAATACAAATGTATGAGTACATCATTCCGAAAGTCTTTCACGCATTATAAATTTATTTTACTTATTTATAATCAATCAGCTTGGACATATAATTACAGATGCGCATAAATTATTTAAATATTTCAAACGTAAACACTTACTACGGCTGTAAAATTATTGCTGGCCAGTAATATCTTTGTTTTTTTTTTTTAACATAAACAATACAAATAACAATAACAATACAATCTTTGTAATATGTGTGAAAGACTTGTATAGTTATAAAACGTAATTATGTTTTATTTGTGTTAATATTTAATAAACTAGTTTGTTATTGTTTAATAGTGTTGCCAACAATTATATAATTTAATTTGATGATAGATACGAAAAAAAACGCGATGTGAACTGCAAGACTAGTCTTTTATCAAAGAATGTTGTAAATAATAGATACTCATTAAATAAGTAGAATTATTTATTTAGGATATCAAAATAATGAAATTTTATTGGTCGTATTAATTAAATGTAAAATATAAAGGAGACTTACAACTCGTGTGTTTGTAGTTTTTGCAATAACTATTCCAATATTTAGAAAATAATATTCATATTTAGTTGGAGCCCATTTTTTTATTTCTCTTTTTTTATTAGACACAAACATATTATTAAACTGTTCAAGTATTAAGAACTATAATTTTGTTGCCATATAAAAAAACAAATAAATTAGTTTCATAATTAATAATAAAATCGATGTTTTAAAAGTAATATCTGTAAGGCTTTTGTACAGTTTTCGAATATTATCTACTATATTATAGTGCTTTAAGTTGGAGTTACAATTTTAACATAATTTTATAGTCATCTTATTCTTAGTATCCATCTTCTACCAACATTCAAATTTCCTCTTGCATATTAAATCATATAGCCAAAACTATAAGTATTTTAATCCATTATAAGAGAAAGGAAAATTTATTTTTTTAAGCAATTAAAATATTGAAATAGTTGCTGCGATGTCTAAGATAATCGTTCCTGAATAAAAAAAAAAACACACGTTCGCCACCTGAAACTAAATGAATGGTGATATTGTACTCAGTATTAATAATCTGTAAAATAACTTTTAACTAATATAAGTTGTAGTTAAATAATTGCAGCATTGTCAAAAATGTAAATCTCGAAATTGAAGAATATATTACGCTCAAGTAAGGAACATGTGCCATTTTTAACGGTTTCAATTCGTACTAGCAACCTGATCCAGTTTCGCACGGTTTTTCAAAATAAAATACAATCAATGGTAATATATCTTTCTATAGATAAAAAAAAATGTTTTAAAATTTGTTAAGTATTTTCGTGATCATCCATTGCAAACAATCAAACAAAAATCAAATCTTTCCTCTTTATAATATTAGTTTAGATTGTATAATTTATCGTTCGCTTAAAATTTTATACAGTTTGATGGTTATACCTATGTTCAACAGTGGACTGATAATGGCTAATGATGATACCAGAATGAGTGGTAATAATAATAACATGACTTCATCCTGAAAGGGCTAGTCAAAGGTGTTTATGAATCGTATAAGTCGTATAATCGTACATTTCATGTTTTAGAAATCGATATGCAATTTACAAAAACTCATAGGTGTTACATTTTGTATGTGTATACTCAGTCCATACATTCCATGACTCGTTACTTTTACAGCATATGGCAATGGCAGGAAATAAATGACACAGGGTGTAGGCAAAACTATCAGCATCCATTTATAACAGGAATGTTCTAGCAGTCCAAAAGATTAAAAAACTTAGTGTTTCACATTTTTTCAACTGGACAATTGACGTATCTGATATTATTTTCCTGTATCGTGAGTGGGAGGGGGGGCTTAAAAAGGTGCATTATGTACTCTCAAACATGTCTTTGCGCATAGTTCAAAGTACCGCTCGTATTTTGAATTGACATCAAATCTCTGATTGGATATCTGGGATTGACACCGGACAAGTCTGAAGTGCTCACCTCAGATTTGTCTGGTGTCCACCCGGCCCCACTAAAATACGTCTATTAGCTGAATTTGCCATGTTAATATGTCGGGCTCAACATTTTAAATGTTTTGATCCGTGCTTCTCTCTGAAAATGTCCATTTCACTGCTAGCATACTTCTAAGGATTCCAACAATTTCTATATCATTCTGTATACATAAATCAAATATGTAAATAGCAAAATCAAAGAACAGTATTAATTGAAGCAATTCCTTTAGATATTAGATAAATATTACTAGAAAGTGTTTTTTTTTTTTATACACACCGAATTGTTTATTCAAAATAATATATAATATTAATTTCGATAATAACTTATACTTAGTAAAGCCTGTTACAATGCGGAAAACATAATTTCAAAAAATCTACAGTGCCACAAATATAAATTATTGACTCGTAACTGATGGATTACAATTTAAAATATGCATTTGATAAATTACATTTAATTCACAATATTTATCTCTAAAGAAAAATAGCCTAGACTCTAATTTAAACTTGCTAGGTACTTACGGTATATATTATCCACGATAACATGGCACTCCCCAGCAAAATCCAAAGAATTAATAATATATGAGTAAAGATATTTACAAGGTTTCAACCAAGGAATTTAATACACTACTCCGGCAGGATCACTACTGAAGACGTTTCTCATATACACTATCATCATGTCTTTATATGGTTACACAGAATAAAGTAAAAAAAAAAGTCGGAGAGAAGTGCCGTGTTAACGTTGACAATCTAATACACGGAACGTCGTATCTGCAGCCATTTTAATTTACATAAAATTACTCTCTGTTCCTTTTTAATTTGAAGGTATAATATTTCAATTGTTATTTTTGTAACTACTACTAAATGTTATAACAAGTAAACTGAATGAAAAAGAGAATGTATCTTTCCAAGCCACACGTATGACCTTAAACGACCAGAAGTAGGGATTTCTTCCTTCGACAATTGTATACACAAACTCTTACAACATAATTTATTTTCTACTATGAATTCTTTATTAAAAATGTATATAAAATTAGATTATTTTAAAAAGTGCAATCGTACTAGTGATTTATGAATAGTTAGTAGTTTTAAAATATTAAACGGTAATATATTGTGTATTATTTAATTTAGTTATAAATACGTTTTATTTATAACTTTTATTTATTTATATTTCCGTGCATCATTCCGTTTCAATACAAAGTTATTGTTTAGGCAACCAATAAAATAAATTTAATAATCCCTTTACATAAATACCGTTGCCAATTTATAATTCCTTGAAATGTACTACGTTTCCAATCAACTACACATTCACAATTCATATTTTAAATGTCATTTTGAATTTTATGACGAATTTGTATACAATTTTATATAACAAAAGAATTAATTCGGCATTTTAAAAACATACTTGCGTAAATAAAATATTCTCAAGCTAAAATTATAACTATTTTTATAAATTCAAATTTATCGCCGTCGTATTTCAACGCGTCAATAAATGGCACTAGTGAGACGATTCCTTTCTTAATTTCGTAAACAAAATAAAAAAGCATTTTTTATTACCAATACAAAAATAAAAATTATAATTCAATTATTGTTTTGATAAATCTATATAATATATAATCTATATGTTACGTACAATTTAAGGTTTTGTTCAATAATATTACATAGATTATTTGAATTACAGATAAAAAAAATAATGTTATTCCTTCTTATAAATAAGTTTGAAAAATACGACCAAGTTCCTATTTAAAATTCGAATATTCGAATATCATTTACAACTTCACGTTAATTTTTTTATTGTTTGTAACTTTTTGGGTTCCTAGTCATTATTAACCCAGTTTTTATCGATCCACTGTGGACTATTTTCATTTACACAGAATTAAAACTATATATAGTACAAACTATTATGGGAAACACTGACAGTCAAATTGCTCATATTTCTTTGAGCAAGAACAATAACTATTATACATTAGACTTCTTTATCTTTTACCGAAGCACGACACGTTAACATTTTATCGTTACGATGTAAAAGAACAAAATATACACATAATAGTAAAGCATAAAGCATACTACAGGCGTCACAGTGTATTCTGTGACTAATTTTATGCGACAGTCTAACAGGTGAGCCATTGACTCGTTTATATTAGGAGAAGTTGAGACAATTTTAAATTTCCATGCATATCTACAATATCGTCGCGAAAAATTTAATGTATTTCCATACAATTGCATACATTTTACTCTGTCTACTATTATTTTGTACCGTTACAGTAATATTTCATGATACGGTGCCATAAGTTAAAAAAAAATATCATTGTATTTTATTAATTAAATGAGGAAAAAATAAAGCAATCGTCTCACTGGAGATGTTACCAATTGCAAATTAAATACATTTAGTTTTTGATTTAAAACGAAAATATGCTATGTCTACTAGTAGAAATCTAGAATAATTTAATGAAATAAGTTTTACCTACAGTTACCTACATATTGTGATTTTTTAGCCACAAAAATAAAAGTCAATAGAATTAATAATTGTTTACTCAACTACTAATTTAATAATTTATTTACAGTGTTTTGTTTTGTTTGGTTTCTATTTTTTAATTTAATGCATGTGTCAATATAATGAAATCATTTAGTCGTAGAATACCATTGTATAGATGTTATTGTATTTGGAAATGAATAAAACATATGAAATGTCGTTTATTTATTTTACCCATTTAAAATGTAGTTGTAGTGTAGTGGAAACCGTTTAGATGACATGTTAGCACAATAGAACAAAAATTGATTTTTAAAATATGTCAAGTTTTCGGACTTGACCTATAAATTTTGCACTCTACCGTGCATGCCATTAGATAAACATAAAATCAACATTAATAAAAAAAAAGTATAAATTAGTTATTATATGAAAATTTGAATTTAACAAACAACTTCAATATGAGGTTATCGGTTCGGTTGCATTTTTGCGTGCATAGCATGCGACACCTTCGCCAATTCTAAACCGATACAGATGGTTATTTTTTATCATTTGCCCCTTGTTAGTCCCACACAAATGTTGTTTCGATAGAAGTCGATTTGTTATACAATAACAAAAATTTACCTCCCATACTAATGCCTCCATCTAACCTTCAGCTGCCCTTGATAAAGCGATTGTTAGTAATGGAGACTGAGAATCCCATTACTAGCAATATACCGAACCAGGTCGACCTCCTCGCGGTTCCCCCTGGAAACTATCATGGTTAATTCCTAATGAATTCATCATGATAGGCTAATTGGCCTGTTTTCATTCTCATCTATCACCCTTCACTGGTGCTCCGCCAGCGTATCCTGTTAGCGCAGGCGGGGTTACTATACCATTGAAAAAAAAACGCCAACACCGTTGCTCAACCCCAGTCTGCATGAGGATTTCCCCACGTAAAAAAAAAGTGGTGTTACTATTCCATTATGCCATATTTGGCTCCAGCAGCCAAATTAGTATAGGAGAATTCCAAAATTTTGTAGTTTTTTTTTAACTTACATGGAGGCTTCGGGAATTTTTTTAATAATCACTGATCATACAACACACTGTCATAAAATATTTAAATGACGTAAAACTGAGCTGAACATAAACCTCCCCCTTGCAAATTTTGTCAGTAGTTGTCACGCTTGGCATATGGATTGGCAACCTCGCCATCCCGTAGTCACCTTTTACTACACCCACGGGAAATGATGATGAAGGTAGGAGAAAGGAACGGGTGACCTATTCTACGTCGGGACCACACGACCATACTTCTCTATTCACAGTTATCTTTCATACGGTTTATCAACTATTAGCAATAATAGCATAAATAAAACAATATCCATTTTATTAATGATTGGTTCTAAAATACCGTATATAGAAGTACTAATGGAAATAAGACTACTAGTGCCATCTATTGTCAGTAGTAAAAATAGTACAAGTAAATTTAATGGAATCTTGCTTCACTGTAAGACGTAGATAGAAACTTATATAATACTTTAGCAACTTCTCAATAGATGGCAGTATAAAGTAATTTTTAAACGTCATACTAGATGGCAGTAATACAATTTTTAAAACGTTTACCTTATTAAACAAAATCACAATTAAATTATTAATATGATAGCACTATTATTTGACTAAGACGTTAGTAATTTAGTTATAATAGATGACAGAAATTCTCTCTAAAACATTTTACGAACAACCGAAAGCATTCAATCATTTGTTTTTTTTGATAAACACAAATCTTGAATTAAGTAAACTTTACAATCAAGTAAATTTTACTTGATTCAAGAATTTTTTCTTAATGCCAAACAATTATATTCTTCAAAATTATTTTCTTGGGTCAAGATTGTTTTCTTGTAACATCATAAAAAAAATCTTGACCCAAGCAAATAATTTTGCCTCTCATTTTTTATTATAAAATAAAATAAAAAAAAAACAAAGGGTTTAATACTAAGGGGGATCGTATTATGAAAAATATTGAACAATATTGCTGTAGTCTATGAACACAGACCTGCAGGTACATGAATCAGGTAATTTCTATATATATATATTCTATATATATATATATATATATATATATATATATATATATATGAGACACCAGCATTTCCCATTTCTAGATGCCATTTTATAGATAATATTATATCGTAATAATTTAAGTACTAAATATAGATTAATAACATCTAGTTAGTCCCAACCGCTTTAAGAAAAACAGCCTTTTATAGTTACTTTAATCTCGTAATTTGTGATTTTTAAGACATAAACTGTTATAGAATTATTTTTAAATAAAATTCTAATTATATATATATATATATATATATATATATATATATATATATATATATATATATATATACCTAAGAGTGACCCTATATATATATATATATATATATAGGGTCACTCTTAGGATTGAGATGTTTTGCACTCTTGAATTACGACACTGGCAACTAAATAATTATGTTGGTATCCTTTTTACTTATTTCACTTTTAGTGCCTTCATATGCAACCTTCTAGAGTCACCGCTACTGACAGTACAATGTGTCATTTGTACAGATATTTGTAGGGCAGTAATAATCCGCAGTTTAAAAGTGTTCTATACTTCCAATATGTTAGGATTGCGATCACTAGCTGCCGGGGCATTTCGCACCGGGCGAGTCCTCTCCAAAGTGCAGACCCCATTATCAATCCAAAAGTTTGGACATGGCCACCATGGACCCCCACAGCCGTTCGACAACATGCCGTTTAAGGTTACCAATCGGTTAGTTTTGGGTTTAAGCCACTCCCAAAAGCGGGATTCCCGTATTTTTTGATGCGGGCAAAAAGCTATTTTTTTAAATCAGTAAGATACAAATAGGTTTGTAAGGTGTTTATGCAGGCGTTCATTGGCTACAGTAACGATTTACCATCAGGTGAGCCGTATGCTTCAGTGGTATAAAAAAAAATATGAAACATCTCATGAATTTACTATTAAAGCCACTTCTTTTTTAAAGAACAATATGGATATAGTTAAATTAAAATATTTAATTTTTTTTCGTTGTTTAGAGCTATTTTAAATAAACTATTGAGACTTAGCGCAATGAAAAATGTTTGCAGGTAAATAGTAGTTACATACCTGCTTCTTTATTGCCGAAGTTTCGACGTGGATTGCACCACGTCGTGATCACGTGCAGATCCTATCGTCGCATTAAGCACCGATAGAGTATTTAAAATATGAATTATTATTATTATTTCAGCCGTTGACTGTCCACTGCTGGACATAAGCCTTCCCCATATGAGGAGTTTTGCCCATAGTTGTCACGCTTGGCAGGATGGAGGGAGGGACGCTGCTGCCCATCCCTCGTAATCCCATAGTTGCCTCATATGACACCCACGAGAAAAAAAGGGGTAGCCCATTCTATGGCGGGACACACACGACCATTTATGGATGTACTTATTTAAATGCAGTATATAGCAATTTTCATTGGAATCGACGTTAAAAAATTATACAAATTTTCCGTTCACCAGGTACTTCGCCAGTATATTCTTCGCCATCTTCTTCGGCATCGGACTGTGGACACCGTATTTTATAGTCTGGTACTCTATGGCAAAGAAAACTTTGTAGTTTGAAGTAATAAACTTATTATTTTAACCATATAAGTTGTTTGCATATTGTAATATGTATTGTGTATTTGTATATTTTAACAGATGGTGGTAACTCTATTCGGAAGGGGGGGGGGGGATGTTAAGATATTGCTAACAATAAAGTATAATATCCCTATTACAGTGAACGCTCTACGAGGTTTGTCCGGAAAGTACGTATAAAAGTTTTTTAAAAATTTTATTTTACAATTATTCAGGTAAATCAATTTTATCCCCTTCAAAGTACTCCCCCTGTGACATAATGCACTTGTGCCAACGCCGTTTCCACTGTGAGAAGGCTCCTTGAAAGTCCTCTGGTTGTAGGTTTCTCAGCTGCCCCGTCGTAGCTTTTTTTATCTCATTTATGTCCCCCAAATGCCGCCCCCGAAGTACCAATTTGGTTTTTGGGAACAAGAAGAAGTCACACGGGGCCAAATCCGGCGGATAGGGGGGGTGTTCGGTCACCGTAATGGAATTTTTACTCAAAAACTCACGGACAACAAGAGAGGTGTGGGCAGGGGCATTGTCGTGGTGAAGAATCCAACGCCCCTCTCGCGCCAATTCTGGACGAACTCGTGCCACACGAGCTTTGAGGCGTCTGAGCACATCGACGTAGAATTTTCCATCAACTGTCTGGCCTGGAGGGACGAATTCTTGATGGACAATCCCCCGAACATCGAAAAAAACAATCAACATTGTCTTGACATTTGAGCGGGATTTTCTTGATTTTTTTGTTCGTGGTTCCCCGGATGTCTTCCACTCTTTGCTTTCACGGCCATTCTTGCCGAGTTTCGATAGAAACTTGATTACGACGCGCTGCTCTTCAACGGAAGCGGGCTCCATGCCGACGGGGTTTCGTTAAGAGGTAACTTCACAGATGGCGTGACAAGCCAGTTCGCACCGCACGGCGGTCAGACCAGAACTGAAGCATTGTTAGGTACATAAGGAAGGGGTCCTGCGCTTACCTGGCCTCCCCACTCCTCTTTCTCGCATTCCAGAACACTTTTATACGAACTTTCCGGACAGACCTCGTATATAAGCAACTCAGGTTATGGAATGAGCTCCCTGCCGAGGTTTTCCCAAGAGACTACAGCATGGGGTTCTTCAAAAGAGGGGTAAAGAGGTTTTTTCAGGGTCGGCAACGCGCGCGTAATACCTCTGGTATTGCAGGTGTTCATAAGCTACGATAACTACTTACCAGCAGGTGGGCCCTAGGCTTGTTTGCCAACTCAGTGGTATAAAAAAAATTATTGGGAAAAGCTGTTTATAGGGGAAAAAAGGAGTATAAAAATACTTACCGTCTGGAAAATATTTTTACTTCTTTCTTTTACTAAGCTGAGTAAAATAAATAAAATAAAAAGAATGTTGCTTATATAGAGCGTTCACTGTACTACCAATATTAATACTATCAATACTATCAGGTCGACCTCCACACGGTTCCCCCTGGAAACTATCATGGTTAATTCTTATCGAATTTGCCATGATGGGCCAACGGACCTGCATTCACCCTCACCTATCATACTTCACTGGTGCCCCGCCAGCGTACACCGATAGCGCAATCCAAGTTTCTATACAAAAAACCTATCTAGTACATAAATATATAAAATTTCCATCAAAATGTCACAAAACAAAAGCAATATCAGAGTTTCATGGCAATTGAACTCAACAGTAATTACATGTAATGTTAAAAAAAAATGTGTACCATAAGATACCATATGCCTTTTTTATTTGAAAATTTTTTTTATTATTATATACATATGCAATCAGGTCATCTATACAGATGTTGCCTCTATACCAGTCTTTCTCAAAGTGGGCGATAACGCAACGTAACTAAAAAAATAACGGTAAGAGACCCAGAAAAAAATGGGTGCGTTGTGTAGAGGCTCGTTTAGAATTAATGTTTAATCTTCGCTAATATGGCTTACAATAATTAATTTAATTTAAAGTAATAGTGGTTTTTAAGTAGGTGAATAAAATGGGGGTCGCTAAAAAATAATTTATTCTCAAAGTGGGCAGTAGACAAAAGAAGTTCAGGAACCCCTGCTTTATACTATCAAATAAAACATGAAAATATATTTCTATGATATTTAATACAACTGGAATATTACTACAGAGTTAGATAACTAAGGCCAGGATGGTGGTTCGCCCTCCTTTACCTTGCCACCGTACAGATAGGACTTATCCCTGAAGCTTGTCATCCTGAGGGTCTCCTGCTCATCTAGGAATCTCCCAATGGCGTAACCGGTTAATGGGATAAGTCCCCAAACATATCTCGTCGTGATGCCGAAAATTGCCATCTTAATTCAACTTCTGCTGCGCCTTCCACTTCCTGGTGTGGTTCCAATCGAACCAAATGCAACTTACAGTCAAAATTGGAAAGGACAAACTCACCAGGTTCCGACGGAGGAACCTGCCAATCGCCATATAACTGAAATAAAAAAATTACAACATTTTATTTATACAATACTAGCTGTTTCCTGCTGTGTTACCTGCGTGCTTCAGTATACAAAGTGTCTTAGTCAAAATATAACCTATCTGTCTACCAAATTTCATTCAAATCCGTTCAGACGTTTAAGCATGGAAATGTAACAAACATCCAAATATATTTAGGAACTTTTATATTTATTATATTAGTATTGTAAATGTGAAATTAGTACCTTTAGTATTTTAATGAGAAACACATTTTTTTAAGACATGAAAATAGAATGGTAAACACACTATCAGTATGTGTTGGATGGGTGCCAATGATGAAGAAGTCAATTTAGGTGGCCCATCATGACAATTTTACAATGGATCAACTGTGATGGTTTTCAGAGAGCATATGGAAATCAACCTGAAAAGCAGGGGGAAAGGGATTGTTAGTAATGGAGACTGAGAATCCCATTGCTAGCAATATACCCCACCAGGTCGACCTCCTTGCGGTACCCCTGGAAACTATCATGGTTAATTCCTGATGAATTCATCATGATGGGCTAACTGGCCTGTTTTCATTCTCATCTATCACCCTTCACCCTGGTGCTCCACCAGCGTATCCCGTTAGCGCAGGCAGGGTTACCATACCATTTTCACCCATAAAAAAAAACCTAAAAAGCATGTTGCTAGAGACAGGGTCATTAAACCCCATAGACAGATCCCGATTCGCTGAGAGATATAGTTTCAGATGCTATGGAATTGAAATTTTTTGTAAGAACTCCTAAATGTAGAGTTACTCATCTACAAAATATTTAAATATTTTATCTATCTATACTAATATTATGAAAATAAGAGGATTCACTGTTTGTTTGTAATGAATCGAAGCATGTGGCATTCCATTGTTTCTGCCTACCCTAATGGGAGACAGGCGTGACAGATATGTATGTATGTATGTACGAATAGATTTAAAAATAACTCAAGAAAGATTTGATTGTTCATTTGTAATGGATAAATTTACATTTATCCATTCTATTATCCAAAGCTACTCGAGCAATTTTCAAAATGTTTACACCTATAGAAAGCTATATTATCAACAAGTAACATATGCTATATATTATTTTTAAAAATTTTATCTACACATGTGACTAACTTCACAAGTTGCTAATTAAATAACATATTGATTAATAAAATGGGGTACAAAATGTAGATTTAATTGTATACAAAATATGATATATCTACAAGAACAGAAATCATCATTTTTATAATATAAATTTGATTACAAGTATTTTTCATATACACAATCATAGAGCATATTAAGGTTTCTAAATGGTTGCCACCACACACATGACAACCTGGTGTTACAGGCGTCCATAAGCTACGATAACTTTGTTAACCATCTGACTGGCTGTATGCTTGTTTATCACCATAGTAGTATAAAAAAATTACAATTGTATCAATTAATTTGAAATATTGTTACTAAACAAACATATAGAATGATTTAAATATAAAATTCAATCAAAGCTAATTTAATTAAATAAATTGCTCATACATTTTTTATAGTTTACTAGGTATATCCTACAGCTTCACCCATGTGAATAGGTATATAAAATATTCTATGACTAAGTTAAGATATAACCTACACATATACTGAATTCCATTCAAATCCGTTTATTAGCTTTGGATGAAAGAGTTATAAACATATACCCATCCATCTTTACAAACTTACACATTTATTATTTTAATAGGACAGGTAATATCTATAGTTTTATAAGTAAGCTAATATCTATCGGAGGAAGAAATTATTAGCAATGTGGAATACTAGTCCCATTGCAAGCAATATACTCAGGCAGGTCAACCTCCAAATGGTCCCCCTTAAGAACCATGATGCTGAATTCCATGTGTATTCATCACGATGGGATAACTGACCTTTCTTTTCATTCTCACATATTATACCTCACTGGTGCTCGTAGCATAGCGTATACCGTTAACATAGGCGGGGATACCATTCCACTGTCATGCCTTAATATCTATCCTCGACAGATACATAGATTGTAATACATTTACGTCCTATATACATTTATAATTGTCAGTAAATAAAGTAATTAATACTTATTATTATATTCAGAGACTGCAAGGAACAATAGACAAGATGTAGGTGCTACTACTTACAGGTTGTATTAATTATATAACACATTAAATGTATTAAAAATAAAGTAAAATATGTACAAAACGAATATAAATGGTAAATTATAATAATTAAAAGTATCTCATAGTGAAAAATGAAAGTAAAATACACGAAATTCTCCTATTGGAGAATTTATTAATTGCTTTTCAATGGCGAAAATCGCAAGCAGTCTCTTCGTGAATATCTATTGACACAAAACACATAGAGTTTTTAAACATAAGATCGATTAAAATATAAACTTTAATATATTTAAGGACTACAACAAAATAATAATTTTTAATTTAATTTGAATAAAATAAAAATACTAACCTAAATCCTGAATGACGACTTTGGAAAATTTAATACCTATACACAAAAAATAAAGTGGTATTGTAATGGTGGCAACATAAACTATACGTCAGTCAAGATGTCAGTCTAAAGTTTAGACGTCAGTCTAAGAGACAGTCAATTCTTCAATTTAACAATTGTCTATACCTCCGTAGACGGTCAATAGTATCAAAATATATTACTATTTTAGCTATTCGAAGAGAATTAAGTTCGGGAACCGTTCACCCGAGTATTACTACTATTATAGTTTGAGCAATATTTGTACTTTCGAGGTACTTGTAGTTGTAAAAATAAGGAGACAAAGTTCCAGCACAGTTCTTTAGTGTCTTAAGGTTTATTTAAAATGTCTCACACATTTTAAATAAACTTAAACTAACACTTCAAGCAAGTGGTGATTCTCTAAAAGAGCAGTTGTAAAAAAATTTTACAATATTTACTGTAGACTCGGAATATTTTACATGAAGCAAGTGAAATAACATATCTTAAATAAAATCGTAGCATTATACACTAGAGGAAAAAATTAAGGGATCAAAAAAATGCCAAATTTTTGAGATTTTTCCCTTAAAAATGGTCATATTGTAATTTTAAAATTAGGACTTTAAAGTTCAAAGTTTATAGTTTTGAGATCTTATGATGAAAAAAATTTTAAGCAACGGGTTCTGCTCAATCCTAATAAATACCGAAACAAAACTTTTTTCAAAATTTTTTTGGTTCTTTTTTTACATACAAACTTGGAAACAAAATCCAACTTAATCACTATATATATCGAATAGCTTGTTCGTATTTTATAGCTTTAATTTATTTTTTTGCAAAGTTTGATACGACCACTTCTCGCTGAGATATCGAACTTTGAATGGAAAAGGATCTTTTTGTCTTTAACCATCAATATCTCAGCAACCGCTGATTATACAAGGAAATTAGGAGGGTTTTGAAATTTTAATAAATTTCCGATAAAAATCAATTATGGTTATTTAAAAAAAAAATTTTTATTCTTTACATTAATTTGAAAAATGAAGAAAAAAAGGGCTTTTGGTGGCTTTTGGGATAATCAGGCGCTAAGAGCGAAATACCGAGAAAACCAGTAATATTGAGTGTGCCTTTTACAGTTCAATATGCTCACAAAAACCCCACAAAGTTTCAATTTAATCCATCGAGCCGTTTTTTTTTTTGTTTTATTTGATCGAATTTTGGAAAAAATTAAAGGATTACGATTTTGACTTTAAATGATCATAACCTTTAACAAAATGCAATTTTTTTTTTCAGATTTCTATGTATTTTTATTGACAAAAATGTTTAAATTTATATATCTTTTATTTTTTATTTAAAAAAAAATTTAAAAATTTTGTATTTTTATTAATGACTCCAAAAATTTAAAAGAACAATATTTACCATTTTTAACGCGATTTTGTTATTGCATTTCATAATTTTCCTGGTTTTTAAACTTCAACTGATTTAAAATATTAATTAAATTTAAAATAAAGTTGATATACCCAATCGAATTTCAAACTCGATTTACATTCTTTCTAGAAATTGCTTATCGTTAATTTTCTTGAGTTTTTTTTTTTCAAAATTACTCCTTCTGCTTTACAAAAATAATTCATAAATTTGCAAACATCAAAAATTCATTTTGATTTCCAATCATGGTTAGACACCATTTATTAGAATCGGAGGTTGCTCGTTTGATCACTCTGCTTGAAAAAGGTTACAGTCAACGTGATGTTGCCATCCGGATGTATCCAAATTTATAGAACTGTTTTTCTTCACACACACGCACACACACACACACACAGACACACACACACACACACACACGTATACACGCACGCACGCACACACGCACACATACATACACAAGAAGCGTAAATCCGACTGGGCAACTTCCACGTGGTACGCTTTGGGTAATCCTGATGCCGGCTGTAGTTTTTTTTTTATTTTTGCCAGAGGTAGACTTTGTACAAAAGTCGTTTGCTTGGGTACCTCTGTCCCATTCGTGTTTCAACCGTAAAGCAGTTGTGTTTACATGGCTGTGTTTCGGTTTGAAGGGTAGAATATGGCGTGAAATTACAGGGTACAGAGGAATAACACCGCAGGAATGGCAACGCATGGGGGGTATCATGGGTGAAACAATATACTCTGTTATGTCCATGGTACTACTTATGTCTATAGACGACGGTTACCACTTTCCATCAGCTTGTCACGTTCCGTCAGCTTGTTTGGCATTCTAAGTTGTATAAAAAAAGTCATTATAAAAGATCCCAAATTTGAAAAAAATACAAAAAAAAATTTCAAAATAAAAGATATTTTTCAAAATTTTTTTTCTATAAATTAAACATTTTTGTCAATAAAAATTTAAAAAAAAAAACTGAAAAGACATTTTTTTTTGCATTTTGTTAAAGATTATGATCATTAAAAGTAATCCTTTAACTTTTTCAAAAATTCGATCGAATAAAACAAAGAAACGGCTCGATGGATTGAATCGAAACTTTGTGGGGTTTTTGTGGGCATATTGAACTGTAAAAGGCACACTCAATACTACTGGCTTTCTCGGTATTTCCATCTTAGCGCCTGATTACCCCAAAAGCCACCAAAAGCCCTTTTTTCTTGATTTTTCAAATTAATGTAACGAATAAAAAAAATTTTTTTAAAAGTCATAACTGATTTCTATCGGAAATTTATTCAATATTTCAAAACCCGGCAACAGCGGTTGCTGAGATATTGATGGTTAAAGACAAAAAGACCCTTTTCCATTCCAAAGTTCGATATCTCAGCGAAAAGTGGTCATATCAAACTTTGCAAAAAATCAAATTAAAGCTGAATGAACAAGCTATCCGATCTATATAGTGATTAAGTTGGAATTTTTTTTTCCGAGTTCTTAGACCAAAAAACAAGAACCGAAAAAATTTTGAAAAAATTATGTCTTGCATTCATTAGAATTGAGCGGAACACGTTACTTAAAAATTTTTTTCATCATAAGATCTCAAAACTAGAAACTTTGAGCTTTAAAATCCTTTTTTCAATTACAATACGAGTATTTTTAAGGAAAATACAGCTACTTGAAAAACCGAAATAATTTGGCATTTTTTTTATTCTTTAATTTTTTCCTCTAGTGTACTCTAATCTATGTCGCTTCATACAGACTGCTGCAAAATAGTGCTATATAAAATCATAAATATTTGCTGCGTTCTAATATATTTGTGAGTTAACGACTGTGCTCGGTTAATACTGAGGTAATCACAACGTATGATTAACTAGGCTATAATGGCAAGCGAATAGAATTATTTTTCATATCGGACATTTAATTTTTCTAATATAATAAATTGTTGTCTATATGTTTATTCCGAAATCATACAATAAGTACTGTACAGTAATACAGTTTTTTTCATTGATTTCACTAATTTTGAGACCACTCGTACGACGTAGCGGCTAAAAAGTTAATAGTAAATAAGGGTCTAGCAATAGCAAATTGTAGAGAGTGTGATATGATAGTTCTGTGCAAGACGCTCCTTTTTACATGTCCCTATAGTTTTTTTTTTATTATTTTTATACACATAATCATTTTTTTTCATTAGACCAAATTTTTTTTTATTAGTACCTATATAACTTGTAGTACAAGACACAGTTTTAGTTCTTTTTATACTAAAAAAATAATTTCTTTTAATAATAATAAATTAAAAGTAGTAATAATTTACATGCCTAATTTGCTGATAATCTTCAATTTATACGTTTGTTTTGTATTATGGTTATTTAAAAGTAATTAGCGAGCGATTGACTAAACAGTATTTGAGAGGGAAGGGATTGTTAGTAAAGTGAACTGTCAGATCCATTGCGATGGAACTGAAAATATATCCTGTCAGGACGTCCTCCACGTGGTCCTCCCTAAAACCATCGTGATAGATAGATAGATAGATAATTTATTTACATTACTTACAGCACACAAATTACAATACAAACATACACATAATACACAGTAAAAGAGATAAAAGAATTCGTGCTGAATTCCAGATGTTCTCATCACGATAAACTAACAGACGTACTTTTTCATTTTCACCAATCATCCCTCACTGGTGTTCCGCCAGCGTATACCGTTGACACAAGCGAAGTTATTATTCCATTATCATCCATTAGAATAAAACTACTAAAGTGGCGCTTCTTCAGAGCGATTTAGGAACTATTATTACTATTATAAATGCAATCACACAATTAATCGAATTTTAAATGAAAATTAATTTAATTTAAAATTAAATTAAATTTAAATTAAAGAAATTAGCGCAAAAGGAATGTTGTGTTGGTTTGGTCATTTAGAAAGGATGGATAAAAGAAGAATTACGAAAGAGTTTATCGAGCAAGAATGAATGAAGATGTTGTTAGGGGTCGCTCTAAATGGACGTATGTTGACGAAATAGGCGACGTGCTGAAGAAGGGCCAAATTAAAAGTACCCGTAACCGGCGAGCGTGTATGAAAAGATTGATGAATGTGAAAGTAGCGAAAGAGGTTTGTTTGAATCAAAGCATTTGGCGTTTCATTGTTTCTGCCTACCGTAATGGGATACAGGCGTGCCAGATATGTATATACTCGTATATGTAGTTCGATTTAGGATCCGATAAGCTGTGAGTATTTTCTATAAATTTTAAACTTTCATGTTGAAAGTTTATTAATTCTATTTAGGTAAGATCTTATTATATTACAAATTGTATGAAACCTCTGTATAGTTTTAAACTATTTGTAAAATTATATGTATTAGGTTCATTATGTTTATAAACAACTTGCAACACTAATGTTTTTTTTTTCTTTGGATTTTGATATTATTGTGTTGGCTAACTTGTTTGCTAAAAAGAGGCCCAACGGGCGGAGCAGGAGAAAGAGTATGTATGAAGTGAATGAGCGAGTGCCTTCGTCATCGTGAACAGATTTTACAAATTGCAGTGTGGGGTGCTAGAATTATGTTGAATTTAATGAAGTGAACAATATTATTGGTGATGTTGGCCTTAGGCTTATTGTTATTTCGTAAAAAAACTGTAAAAGAACACACATTTACTGTAGTAATCCGTCAAAAATCGAGAAAGCTTCAAACGTGTTTGAAGCTTTCGTTTTCGCATTAATGGAACTATGAACCTGGACCCTTTAACGTTTAGCTTATCGCAAATCAATTGTCTCGTTGTAAATTTAAATAAGAAAAACTTCAAACAAACAAGTCAGGAGTTGTCCCAGGTGAGTAATATTACTTTTCCATAGCTTGTCTTTGTTTTCTGTTGTCGCCATATTGTAAAGTACGTAGAGCACGTACATTTGATAACGGTAGCATTGCTGTAAAATAGATTGTTGTATGTATTAATGTAAATGTAATGCAATACATTGCACACAGTTTGTTGCAAAGTGCCACATTATTACGTATTATGAGAATTGCGTCTCGTTCGTCACGCGGCGTCGTCACTGCTTGTCCGTTCTGTAATCCATTTTTTACTAATGCCGTTACTGCTAAAAACCGTTGATCTCATAGTATGTTTCTATGTGAATATTGGATATAGGTAGAGTTTGATGCGTGACGTCATAACGACCTCTTTTTTACAAAAAATATTGTAGGTAGGTATGCTTTTTGCTGTTGTTCTAATGACAGATTCTCCTATAACCTTATAACAAATGCTACAATGCTGTCTCTATAGTAACAATATAATAAAAATAATCTATACTTCCTGTATTAGATTTATGTAACATTGTATCAGTGGAACAAACTGCTTCACTAATGAATAAAATGCTCCTAACCAATTGATTGTTATATACTTTGGTTAAGGTAGAATTGTTTAGCATGTGTAAAGTACAACTGGAAATATTTGTTATAGCTACAATATATACTTTTAAACCAGCACAGTTCAAATTTTGGCACAAAAATCACATGAAAAAACATCAATAACTGCCAAAATTTATTTTTGCATCTTAAAAGTGTTAAAATCATCATGATTACAAGGTGAGCACAAGTGTATAAAAAGTATCCATCTCAAGTGAGCTCTATTTAATTGAATAGATTTCAAACTTTATCATATTTGGGTTGTTTTTAATAAATTTTTCAATAAAAAAAAAACTGGCCACTTTAAATTCTGATTGAGACTGTTTTTGTGAATGTCTTGTAATATTTTTATTAATTATCAACTAATTTCTTTTACTGGTTAATTAGTGTCAGGTTGATTAAAACCAGTATTTTGTGATTCACAAGCAAGTCATACAGTTTGGTAACCTCAATTGTATTACAAGATTATTTAGCTTAGTTTTAGTGTGAGATTTCTTTTAAAATTGTTTTGAAGAATTTGTTGAATGTCTGAATTACAAATACACTTATGTGATGTAAATTTGCTTTCAAATATAGTTCTGGGCCCTTTTAATTTTATTTAGGTTAGTAACACTCATAGAACCCCCAATTATAAACACCAGGTTCATATTTATCTAAGGTTTGTGCTATATATGAGTAGCTTATTGTCATTTGATAATTTTTTTTTATACCACTGAGGTGGCAAACAAGCTTACATACAATATCTGCCAATTAGCTATTGCATTTTTCGATATTTGAGGCATATCTTGTCTTGCTTTGTTGTTTATTCCATGTCGGTTGATAGTCCAAATGCATACTAAAATAAAGTCCAAAATGTTATTAAAAACTATCTGGTTGTTTAAGCATTATTGGTTAACAAACATTATATACATAAGGAAAATCTATATTTTTTTTATCAGACCAGGTTGAACTGTGCATAAAGCTATAATGCTCAGATGTTAACAAAGACATCTTTTTTTTATTTCAGAATAACACATTATTTGAGAATAATACCTGTTATGTGTGTTAAAAAAATTAATGGTTATACACTATTAAAAAAATTAAAAAAGTAAAATTTAAAAATAAATTTGAATTAAAAATCTGACAACAAATAAAAAATGTTAATTATATATTACCGCCATATGCCATTCTATCTCATTTTTAAACTTTATTTTCGACCCTATAAAGGGATCAATGTCAGAGAACATATTGTTATAGGTAATCTAACAAATAAAGAATTCTTTCTATAATTGGTAGTATGGTGTGGTACATGTAATAATGGTGTATGTCTAGTACGACGCATGGGAGCAACCAGAGACAAAAGTTCAACTAATTCTGCACAGTCCAATCGACCATGAGTCACGTCAAATGGAAGACTCATATCTAGCACTTTACGTCGCTCTTCCAGTGTTAGGAGGCCGTAAGCTGGACATATAGCATCATATTGGGCCCCCTGATCAGATTTTTTACATTATCATGAGATGATGTATAAATTTTTTTAGATAGATTAGAGAAAGGTCGACAAGTTCTCAGTATAAAACGAGTTGATGAACTAAAAAAATTTGGGAACCACTGACACATTTGAAAAACATGTTTTTGTGTTATTCTTATTTCATATACTTACTTTATCTATTTGTAAGGAGGCATAGATAAAATTAAACAAGGCCTATATACAGAAGTGACTTTGTAAAGATAATATATTTATTATAACATATATTTATTGTATATTGATTATGTAATATTCTATTTTGTCAACCTTAATATTTTACCTTTAGACACAACTAAGATAGATTTTGTACAAAAGTTTTATATTTGTGTACCTTTGTCCCACTCGTATTATGCCATTTAACATCTGTAAGCATAGATGTTAAGACAGCATAGCGACTAAAAGATGAAATATAGCAGTGAAATTACAAAGTACTGAGGCACAATATCCTAGTCCTCTGCAATGTTGTTTACACATCTAAAAGTGACTGTTACCACTCCCCATCAGTACTCAAGAAATCATACCATAAGCACAATGTTCTGGAATGTGTCATTTGTTAATATGAATGTGTAGGGATGACTACACAGCATTGCAGTGTTTAATTGAAGATGAGTATGTATGTGTATTGTACAGTTATTTTTTTGATGGGTGAAAATGGTATGGTAGCGGATATGCTGGCGGAGCACCAGTGAAGGGTGATAGATGAGAATGAAAACAGGCCAGTTAGCCCATCATGATGAATTCATCAGGAATTAACCATGATAGTTACCAGGGAGAACCGCGAGGAGGTTAACCTGGTTGGGTATATTGCTAGCAATAGGATTCTCAGTCTCCATTACTAATAATCCCTTTCCCCCCGTATTATACAGTTGGATTGGTGCACATTCTTTTTCTTGCAGAGTATTTAATCATTAATCCTTTTAAAGCTTATGTTATTTTTTAACTATATCTTAACTATTTATATGTACTAGCTTTTACCAGTGACTTTGTCTGCATTACCGAGATATGTTTATCGACCGTAGTCTATATCCTTCTTCATCGCAATATAGTATGTGTATTCTAAATTTCATGGTGTTTAGTGAAGCCATTAAGATTGTATAAGGTAGCAAATATATATATATATATATATATATATATATATATATATATATATATATATATATATATATATAGACATATTTGTTGTATATTTATTCTTTTATTTGCTTTACACTATCAATATGTAAATCTTGTATTACATATGTGTAAGCTGAAATACACCATATCCATTACACCACAGATATGGGATAAAATAGATAATGTAACTGTATAACCTTAGCATGCCATTTTGTACCCTAAATTAGGAGCAATAAAGTCTATTTAATTGCAGATAGCTAGCATTATTGTATTAATAAACATGTGTGTGATTTGTATCCTATAAAATGCAAAGCGATTGCAATTTTTGATTAAATTTTATTATTAATTATTTTTATAAATTAATTATAGATAATTAAGGTTTTCCATGTGTTGATGAAGTAAGAATATAGTGAATAACCACTTTTTTACATCTGAGGATGTCCTAAGATGAGATTAAGGGAACAAAGCATGTAACAGTAGTGCAAAAGAATTAAATCTTAAAACTATAGCTCTCAAGTGCCCTGGAAAGTGATAAACAAGTTATTATTCACATATTAAATATATTTTTATTTATAACACAAATTTGATAAGAAAATGTGTTTTTATCAGTGAAAATGAAATGGTGACCCCGCCTGCGCTATCTGTGTATGTTGGCATGGTACAAGTGAGGGATGATAAGTGAGTATGTAGGGAGCCAGTTGGCCCATTGTGACGAATTCAACAGTAATTAACCACGGTGGTTTCTAGGGGAAACGTGTTCAAGTCGACCTGATAGGGTATATTGCTAGCAATGGGGCTGTTCTACCCTATTACTAACAACCCCTTTTTTTTCTAATGTTTAATAGTGGTTACTGATACTTGGTACCTGATAGAAGGAAATAGGGATAGATACATACGGCCCACCACCATCACAGCTGTTAATATATATATAGACATAATGCTAAATGCATAGCATTAATGCGCGCGCTGCCATTCCTATAAAAACCTCTATAGAATCTTAATTCATTGCAATTCAATCATGACGAATTTAATAAGAATAGACTACGATGGTTTCTAAAGGAAGTTGCTGGAGATGTATCTAAATAATATATTACTAACAATGCGGACTGTTAACTATGGAGTCTTGTGGATTATCAATAATGGTACTAGCAATCCCTTTCCCCCCATAATAAATAGGTTGTAATGATGATGATATTAGCAACAGTCGACTAATATCTCTGACTATCCTCTAAAAGGATTATAGTCGTTAGTATATTTGTTTTACTTTAAAATATGGATTAGTAATACTTATTAGCTTTTAGTTAACAGCTTTTCGAATATTAAGATATAATTGCATGATTTGGGAGATAAGTTGATATCATTGTTCCTAAAGATATTCTGCCTAGCGAAATAAATATTTTTTTTTATTGGCTATTGTATATGCTACATTGAACATTCTGCTAAGTCATTAAACATGTGTATTCACCACGATTGCTATGCTATTGTATATAGTTTGAAAATTTAAATACCTCATATCCATTTAATGCTAATATTTGCTGCAACAATCATTGCCAAAAACATGTTTATCTTATGTTTTCCATGACACCTTTCTTAGAATGTAAACATCTACTTCGACATGTGTATACTCTGCTCATTTTATCATAATGCAGTGACAGGTCACTAAAAAACCTTAGAAACAGAACACTTAATTATTATTAGTGATTGTTTTGACATATAATGAAACTAAATGCCTATTTTTTTATATTATTATATGTTTTGTAAGAGACAGGAATTAACGCGATCATTTAAGTATATATATATATATAT